GTCCCGATGGGATGGTCCCGCTCGCCTTGGCCCCGGTCAGCCCCGAAATTGGGATATGTTGTCATCCTGGAGGCTGTCACAGCGGCGCTGGGGAAACCACTTAAGTAAATATGCCAAGAATTAAAATAGTTAAATGAACAAGCAATGAATCAGTGTTGATAGCACGGTGATTATTAAGGAACCCAGAGGCGTCACTGGGATCACTGCTGCTGTTAGACTTCAAATATCTGGGATAGCTAAACGGGAAGCTCGGCTCCGCACCGGTTTTTGGTGATACTCATGCCAAGGTCGCACGACCCGCGGTAAACAGCGGTGTGCAAATAAACACCGACCCCAAAAGCTCCCCCAGCTTCGCTCCGCGAGTCGCCTTCGGAGCCGTACCTGGCTAAAAGATGAGGTGGTGTTTTTTAAACTAATATTTACTCCTGCTAGACCTGCACAGCCACTGCGGCTCTGGGGGAGGGAGCGGGAGCCGCTCTGACTCACGGCTCCGCAGAGCTGGTAGCCTGCTCCCTCGGCCCGGTGTGCCGGGGAGAGTCCACCTTGGCTTCCCGGGCTGCAGGCAGACGGCTGTGCTTGTAAAGTCATCGAACCGGCCCCAAAAGTCACTGGAAAATAAATACTTTTTGGTGGATTGGGTTTTTTGGGGTTGTGCTTTTTTGTTTTTACCCAAGTTGCTTTGCAGAAGAAAGTTGGCTTGCAATAGCTCCTGCACAGATTTGGGATCCTTCTGTTCTTTAGGATGCTCCACCGGCAGAAACCCCAAAATTGAAAATATCCTTGCTCGTGGGAGTTCTCCTGCAATACCGTGGGAGTTGCGGCACAAGCGAAGGCAGCCGCTGGACTTGCTGGGAGAAGTTTCCTTTGCCTTGCTCGCGCTGCCGCCTTCGCCTGCCCGTGGAGCCCACGAGCACACGTAGAGCCCCAAAATACGACGCCGAAACATCTTCTCCGCATACTTCTGCACAAAGCCACGCCGCCTCTTTGTGCAGTCCCTTATAAATAGACTAAGTAGACAGTGGTAGGGGTTTTGGTTGCCTTCCTCTGCACTTGGCTAAACAAATGCCAAGCCTTCTTAAATCTAAATTACTCGAAATATTTACTGTTGAGACGTCGTCCAAGAGGAGGATAGTTAAAACATTAATTCCTCGCATTCCAGTGTATTAGGGCTTTACCCTGCGACTTGCCGAGCGCCAGAAATGGGACTTTGCAGATTGGATTCCCTTCCCCCAAAACTACACAGCCACCCCCCCACTCCCCCCACCCAAACTTTAATGCTTTAAAAAAAAAAAAAAAAGGAGGGAGAGAAAAAGAAAGGAATGCACATCTGGGCTAAATATTTGTTAGAAAGTATTCCCAGGATAGTGGGAGTTCTGGTGCCAGAGAGGAATTCCTGCGGGTTTGATCCATTGCATTATGTACTTGTTCCAAAAGCTGTTTTCAGTAAAATAGATGAGTAAGAAGTCTTAGCCAAGAACAGAATGTCTTTTTTGGCAACTAAAAGGAAGATAGGATTATTTTATTTCAGGTTATGTAAAAAAAAAAAAAAGAAGGTGGTAAAATCCTGCGCTCAGTGGTGCCTGCAGAGATTTGCAATGGCAAGCAGAGATACATATATTTTTTTTTTTCTTCCCTTCATGCTGCTGTGCACATTTTTGTGACTTCTTTGTAAGACATCAATGTGGATTTAAGATTACTTGCGGAATTACTGCAATTAAAATATCCTCGCTGTGTCTGAATTGGCCTCCGGGTTTTTTTGGCTGAGTGGCCAGCGGTTTCGGCGACACGGCTTTCACGGCAGCATCCAAATCGCTGGTGGGAATTCTGCTCCCAAGTGCTGGGGCGAGGAGAGGATTGTCTTTGCCCTGAGAGCGAAACCCCTGTCTGGAGGTTTTTTTGGGGGTGGATACAAGTAGACACCGGTGGGTGCAGCCCCACTACGTTTTGTATAGCTCCCGAGAAGGATTTGAAAACTTGACCTGGAAAACGTCGCAGCCATAAATCAGCAAAGAGGTGGAAGGCATTACGGGGGAAAATTAATGTGTTTTGGCTGGTGGGCAACAGGTTCACCAGCTTTTTCCCATTAATTGAGAATCATGTTTGCACGACACCTACTTTGCATTAACCAAACAATAGGTGTTTTGAATAAGACAGCATGCCAGAGATGTTTTTTTCCTATGCATTTGGCTTATTCTCGTAGATGGGAGATGCACACACCTCCCTTCATCCTCCTGCCAGACGTGGCTAATCAGCGACGATAGTATTTAAAAAATATGGAAAAAAAATTACACCATCTTATACGCAGCTTGCCTTGGCTCTGGCTGGGTGTTTGTGTTAATTCGGTTAGCTCGCTTGAGGAAAGCGCTTTGTTTTTTCTCGCTGTGTGGTTTGGGGGGAGGTTGTGGTGGGTTTGCAGGCGAGCTGAGCATCGGGGCCGCGTTGCTCTGCGGCGACGCAGCGTCCACCCTCTGGCTTCGCCTGCAGACCAGGTGAATCCCAGTAGAAATGGGTAACACGTGGGGTTTGGGGTTTTTGTTTCGGTCCGGATCTGGGAGCTATCCCTGTCTCAGCAGTGTGATCTTGGCTGCTCCACCACCTTCTGGTGTTTCCCACGAGGCTTGGATGTGGTTGACATCGCACCTCTGAGGGTGTTCGCCCTTGGACGTGTCCCCTACGGGCTTTTTGGGGAGCTGTTTTCTCCCTCCCTTGGCTAGACAGTCGCATCCTTCACCAGCAACGTCCTTTGGAGCAGCGAAGAGCTCTGTGGCTCGAAGACCCACATACGGGGTTTTTTTGCAAAGTTTTTGGCTGCTCCGGATGGACGATGGGGACAGTTGGGATGAGCAAACTCCTGGTTTTGATTTGGACCTCTGCCATGGATTTGGAAGGTTTTCTTGCTCCTGGTTGTTTCTTAACGCAAATGGGAGACAGAGCAGAAGGCACCAAAAGAAAAAAAAAAAGAGAGAAAATAAGAAAAGGTTTGGAAATGCAGCCAGGTGCTTGGTTTGGGCGTCGTGGCTGCCCGCGAGCTCTGCTTTGCTGGGGCACCGGCAGGAAAGGGGTTAATGCAGGTGTCAGGTAGGACGTGCTGCTGGGGCTGGAGGGTGGCCAAGTCCACCTTCTCCCCATCTGTTTTGGATTAAGGCCAAAAAAACAACCACCCCTCTGTGGCAAAACCACCTGCAGCTCTGGGGCTGCCGAGGAGGAGGAGGGATGGAGGGAAGGATGGAGGGATGGAGGGGAGGATGGAGGGGATGGCCTCTCCCTGGCCCCCAGGACCAGGGGCTGCGGGGGACGCGTTGGCCCCGTAGGCGTGCGTTGCGGTGAATGATTAACTTCTTCAGGCTGAGGAACTGCTTCATCCAGGGAATTTTTTTTGACCTTTTAGGGGACTGTTCTCTCCTGGGAAGCTGTTGGTACGTAATTAAGGAGGGCTGGCGCCGGGCTTTGATGGCAGCGCCTGTGCTCCCGTCCTGCTACGTGTTACGGTGCGGCGCTGGCGAGATACCGAAAACCCCACCGTGAGGAGGTTTTGAAGCCGGCGTGGTTTCCATGCTGCCTGCTCAGGGCTGTCAGCAGGGCAGGTTTAGTGGTGGGTTTTTTTGGTTTTTTTTTTTCCTTTTTCAGAGACTTGAATTAACTTCAGGCATGCAAAAGAGGGGGAGAAAGTGCTACGGTTACAAAGAACAAATTTGGCCGGTGGAGGAGGTTCAGCTGGCCCGAGGGGACGGGGACCGGGCGCCTGGCACCCCTGTATCCGCGCTTTCGCCGTCCCGGGGCTGTGTGTGTCTGTCCCAGAGTCATCCGTGTTTTAGGGATGCTCTAGGTTTTGTGTATTACCTCTGGTTTTACTGAAGCACCGGGGTGGCTGGTAGCATCCCACGTCGCTGGGGCTCTCCCCTCCTTGCTGGAGGGAGTTTCTGGACTGGGGCTGTATCTCTCCCACCGTGGTTGTGCCTCACATCCTGGTGGGACGGGGTCAAAGCAAGTCACTCCTCTGGCAACAGCCTGATTCTCAGCTTTGAGTATGGCTCACTGGCTTCAAAATCTGCAGAAGCAGGGGCATCTGGTGCGGTGTTCCTCTGAAAGGAGGAACGGTCCATCGTCTACGCAAGAGCATCCCAGGTTGGGTGGGCTCTGATCTCCAATAGCCTACTGTTGGCGAAACATGTAGCTTTTGTGCAATCTCAGGAGACAACATAGCCACAGACTTTATGAAAGCAAAGGTTAAAACATGCAACAAAGTTATTTTGGGTTTTTTTTATTTTTTATTCTTTTTTCCTTGAGATGAGCAGGAGAAAAATGCGCAGGAAATTTAGGAATTTAGGCAAGTACAGAGCTCCTTTGTTTTTAATTAGCTGCGTTGTTTTTAATTGCTACTATGCTTGATACATAACCCAGCCTAAACAAGAATAGCTTATTGAATGGGGGACTGACTATGAAAGGCACCGTGAGGAGAAGGGCTGTTCTTCACAGCTGATATATTTGTATTTCAGTGCTTCATTTAATAAGTCTGTTTCCCCAGGGGGCTGTAGCAAGTAAATCATGCCAACAGATTGTTCTCTGCAAACGGGCTTATTTTTGTAATTAGCAAGACGTTAAAGCTGTAACTGCGTAGAAAGCGATCTGGGCAAGGAGTTAACGTAAAAGAATTAGTAAGCGAAATGTAATACTTATTGTTTGATAACATTTGTGTTGATTGAATTGGTTTGCAGTTTGTTGTCTGCGATAGTTGGGTTTTCTGCAGCGTCGTAAAAGGGGGGGGAAATTCAGCACGTGTGCACGGCGAGGGTCGTTAGG